AATAGGTACAACAACTATTTCGCATACATTAACAAGCAGAGCCCTTCCCTCTTTGTACAGCCTCCAATAGTATTTTTAATCGGTTTAAAATGTTCTGGTCGGAATAACCTCTTCATGCAGGCGCGCGATCGCTTTTTGGGAAGGTAAAGTCTCCTCTAGAACAAAAATGTAAAATAACCATATATCATCAGAAAAGGGTTAAAAAATGCGATAAAACAGCAGCACAACCAAGGGGAACTGCACCTTTGAATTATAACATTGCCACCGAGACCGCGCGCCCATATACTTCTTATCTCTGAGACGGGAAAGGCGTTGCATATAAACATGGCATAGGATGGGTCACTTGTGTGATTTCTCACTTTAGGACAACTCTCATCTTCTGTGTTGGACAAAGATCAAAACTGCCCCAAAACTAGTATATCTCAGGAAGACCCAAGTTACCGCCACGTTCAAATCAAGCACGCAACCACGCCTACCGCATATGAGGGATTTTGGGTGTGCTTATTGACCACCCTATACTAGCAATTCATGTTTTAACCGCTGAGATTGCAATCGCGAAATGTCCCTTCAGTTGTTTTTGCAAAAGTGCGCAAAAGTCCAAGATGTCTAACCCGCAGCGCTGCCGCGTTAAGGGGACTGGGTCGTAGTGCGAATGAACGCGGCTAAACTCCGCACCCGACTGTTACCACGCGCGCGCAAATTTGAATACAAACTGCAGTTTGAATTATCTTCCCGCGCGAGCTAATTTGAACATCAAGCAGCTGTGCGGCGCGCGTAGGCTGGCGAAATTGCTTTTCACAGCTCGACTGCTGTCATTGCGTACAACGCAGTGCTATAGTAACCTCATGCCTAGTTTTCTAGTACTTATCGTGGGAGATTTGAAAGTAGCGTCTTTATCTGAGCGCAATAGCGAAGAGGTTAAGATGCCTTCCGCATCGTAAAAAAGAAACCAACGAGAGGACCGTGCTCGAGCATAGATATCGGTGGGACAGTCTATCTTCTCTTTTAGTGAAGGACTATCCCTGAACAACTAAGGGCACGGAAGGGTCAGGATAGCGGACATTCTATGTGTCTAGTCTACGAGTATAAGTGAAAAGATTGCGGTTGTGCGACAGGCTACTTGCACGCACTGCGACTGCGCCATGGCTAGTGTTTCATTGCAACTGCTTATTTTAGTGGAGCGGACTTTAATAAAAGAGCGTATCTCCATCCTACACAGAAATGTGGTAGATCCAGTTGAAAGAAAGATCAGGGAGGCACTGGAAATAAAGCAGCAACAACCACCAATCAACAGTAAAGAAGAGATGAGAGTGGCAATGAGTTTGTTATCATATAAGACGTGCAGAATGAGACATACGAGACTCGAGATCACCGCCTTTGTCCCGCACTTATATAACGATCCAATCCTTACATCCCTTTCATTTCTGCTGGTACTGCTACGTAGTGAGGGCTATCGAAGTTGTGTACTCCTTCCCCATCCTACACAGTGTGAGTTATTGCTAGGTTTACTTGACTGATGCTGTAACGTTGTAAGGGTAGCTGTTTGATTTAAGATCGAGTGACCTGAAGAAGGGCTTATGCCCGAAACGTTGTCATATAATAAAGTTTCAATGAAGAGAAGAGCTTCGTCATTCTACTCAACTACATCAAGATTAAGAGAGCGTATCATAAAACTACAAAAGACATATCTAGGCCAAAATTTTCGAGTTACGAAGGTAGGGGTACAGACAACGCGAAGTTCTGCAAGTCTCCCGAGAGGCCAGGTCACCAGCAACACGGAGACAGTATATATCTTCGTGGATTGGTGACAGTTCAATGAAACTTACAAGGATCCTTTATCATCGTTTCCTGCCCAACTCACTTTCTGAACAAGCGCATTTTGACGGGTGCTCTACTGTTATGATTTCGGCGAGCGACGAATAGCGTGCAGCTGGATACGGAAGACTTGCCACGCTCCTCAAGCAATATAAAACGTGAAGAAACCGTGGGAGAGATAATAAGAGATCGTTGTCGGACGTGGTAGTCTTCTTCTAGTGATAGATCCTTGTGTTGTTGAAGAGGTTCCGTGGAAGTTGAGCGACGGCGAGCGGGCGGATGAACGGCAGCGAGAAGTTGAACGGCGGTGAGGATGGCAGGGATGAGTCGAACGGCAGTGAGGGTGGCGTGGAGGAACAGGGTGGCAGTAGCAGCGAAACAACTATTCGCAACTACCACAATGTTTCAGAATGAAAACTGAGCTTACAATATAGCTTCTTTTTTCTATTCATTCAGTTGTTTCAGTATTAATAACATGTCCTTCTGGGCACTATACGGGCCATGACTCGAAGGACCCTCAGTAATTCTGAAGGGTAAAGGCTCTTTAATCAGGCTAGGCCTAACGATATATGTTGGGCGATGATGAAGGCAATGAAGGTCATGCAGTAATAGCTATGTGCATTGTGCAGTCAGCACTCCATTATTGTTTTCTTACATACGCTATGTTTTGACTCGTTTTTTTTAAGTTCTGACAATAAGCAATGTTGAATACGTGCTTAATTGACCGTATCACATGCTGGGGTTCTCAGTATGAGCTTGTTTTCCTCTCATATAGTTGACACAGTGAGAAAGTGCCTTCCACAAATATCTGAGAACAGTTGAAATGACGGAGTTTACTAGGGAAATTTAAGAATAGAGGATAAGCCTGGGCCTACCCAAGTAAGTCAAGGCTGCTAAACCAAGTATTGAACTGAGAGCAGCTAACGTCAACTTCCAGTGGTTTGTAATGGTATTTAATAAAGGTTCAATATTAGGTAAACTAATATCATTGAACCACTGGTTTTTAGAGGTACTCCATGAGCTTTGATGTCAAATACTCGGTGTCTTGTGATCAAAGGAGTGGTAGTTGTAGGTAGTCATTTAACAGGAATTTCGTAGGCCTATCAGAGCAATGAGCGTTGCATTGCTCATGTACTGTGGGATGATTAAAGTGGAGAATAATCTCATTCTCTTCACCTGAAGACCCGCATTTAAACAAAAATTGTTGAGATCGGCAAGCGACTGTTACCGTAGAATCAACTAATGACTCACAAATGGCTGCGAAAGGCGCTCCTATTGTGCAGTCATAGCAGCCTGTTAGCGTGGAGATCTTAAAGCCACACTCTTGATTGGTAGTCAGTTCGGCTACCACATCTTGTAGTATCTTTGACTCAATTCGTAGTGCCATTTCCTCCTCGTTGGACGAAGCAACGATATCCCCGTCACGGACCATGATAGTGAGGAGTTTTCAGAGGCAATATATTTTGTGGGTTATCACAAATTTTATGGAACGAATCGTCTGGGCATTGACAACTATAAGGTGAATTCCCGCAACTGCCACGGATCTGTTCGGCAAAGCAGTTAGCAATATCTTCTAGTGCTTGTGTTGGTGTAATACATGCTACTGGAAGTTGGAAGTTATTCGGCAAGAGATATGCTTTATCCTTGGAAACTGCGAAGCGCCTACCTAGCGAATAAAGTGGCCTTTGAATTGATGTAACTGTGATATTAAAGTTGTTAGTGCTATCAACGGGCATATGAGGGAATGAATGAGCGTTGAACCTTTCTCTGTTCGATTAGCTATTGTTATTTCAATGTCTAGTTTTACTGTCGTCGTCCAATGGACTTGTACGATTTCGAATATTCGGTCGGATACTGGGCTGTGGGCGATTTATAAAACCAGCAGCTAGGCAAGGGCAGAAAGCATCCACAAAACATACCCCCACAGCTGTTCATACAGCCGGAGTAGCCGGGATATTTCGCACGGCGTCTTAATTCGGGTACCGTTTCATTTTGAAGAAGGGTGTCGCATTTATTCTCCGAGCATGATCCTGCATTAGCGCAGCGTTTCGCGTGATATACTGATAGCCTCGTAGGTCTGGTGAAAAATTCTGTGACCTTAGAGCACTCGAATTCTATTGCTTTTTTGATGAATTTGGCTGACCCAACTGTTGCGTTGGCATGTAGAATTTCAATGCATAATTCCGATTGGAGCCTGTTGAATAGAAGCTCCCTGCTATATTCTAGATGGCATCGATTGTTTTCGTTACACACGAGGTCCACCGAGTGACGCATAAAGCCTTGACATGCGTCTGTGGGTGAAATAAGGCATACTAAGGTCGTTGCACTAGGAAGTGGACTCAGCTCGAAGCTACAAGTAGGTGCTACTGGTGAAATTGATTCGTTGCCTTTCGGTCTCTCTGTTCTTTTGAGAGACTTCATCCTTTTTTGCAATTTTGAATGAAGCCCATATTGCAGACATGACTGCTGCTATAATTAGATAGATTAACACTGCCGAAGTTACGATGGCTCCAGCAGGCCAACAGTGGGCATTTCCTAGTAGTTCTTGATAGGAAGTATTGGTGATCGCAAAATTTTGGTCTGTCACATCTTCTCGAGACTTCATGCACCCCTTGTTCGGTGGGCAGGATTGGAAGTATATATTTGGTCGGACGAGTTGTATTGTTGACCGACTGACATTCATTATTAATACAGACTTCCAAACCAGCGGCGGTATAGTGACTATCCCTTTTGTGCAAGAGATGATACTTGAGGTGTTATATGCCAAGGACGTGGAAATCAACGCTAGGATTGTGAGAAATAGTAGAGCAGATTTCGGAGCCGTACTGCTTGATAGATGTGCGCTACTTTCCATGTTCCTAAAGAAATCATAGGCTCGCATTTTCGAATTTCGAGGTAGGGGGTCTCACTGTGTTCCTCTCATGGGGCGTGTCACCACCGTCTTTTTCCGCATTTCATCTGCACGTTCTCTGTTGTCGTCTGTAGACTTTTTTGGTTCGCTTCGGATTTCCTAGTGGGTAGATTTGATTCAAGGCTATGAATAAGGTTAAATGTTTGGGCATTAGCCATTTAGGCCGATGTAGTCAACGGATGCGGCTGATATAATTATTTCTATGATCTTGCCGTACGACCAGTTTCCTCTTGGGATTAGGTCTTGTTCGATTAAAACGATTTCGCTGATTTCTGGACATGATCTCTGTGTATGCCTTGGCTGTTTCAGCCACCCTACCAAGGGCAGTTGATAACTAGACCACACTAGGTACTTCTGCAAGCCCCGCCCCAACCCCCCGCCCACCTTTCCAGCGCGGTAAGTATGCTTCCTCGACTTTTTCTCACTTTGCTAATTGGACATGTACTTCAACTGAAAAGGATTGTACCAATGACAGATTCTAAATTCCGCCCATTCAGCTATCCAGTTATGTAAGTTTTTGTCTGTGGCGTGGGGGTGAGGTGTAAGTTCTGAATTTTTATAACTTCTTTCGACGTCGGTTTTTTCACATTCAATCTTCACAAAACGAATATAGCCATGCTTTTACACACTAGCACACTAGGCCCCGCCCCTCTGACCACGCCCACTTTCGTTTTTCGCGGAATTTTGATTTTTCTTCCGAATGTTCACTTTTTTTTTTAGGCTGTGACAAGCGGCCCCTCCGCTGATGGAAGCTCTGCCTACTTTGTAGAAGCCCCGCCCACTTTTCAAAATGCAGAGGTGCTTGGGACCTTCCAAAGGCAAAGTACTTTGAGCAGGATACACTTTCCGTACCTCTTTTTCCTATCTCCGCATCTGCTATTGACGCTTGTTTATAAAGTTCACACAAATTCAAAATTGTTTTAAAAAAGACTTGGTGGATGAGAACAACATCAACACCCACCCTGGCCCGGACCTTCGTATGATGTCGTTGCTCACGAGCATCGCTTCCAAGTTCTACAATGGACCTATCAAGACTCTTTCATGCAGTCACTCCTCACAGGTTCTATTCCACCGGATTCTCTACACATTTTTGTTGCTCTACCGCCGGCCCAATCAGTCATACGAATGGCTTCTATATGGCTTCCTCACCATGGCTGTTCTTCACGCCAGTTCTGCCCAAGCACTCACACCTGCCCAAATTCCTGACATCTACCTCATTTCAGAAGCGCATTCCTCCAGAAATACTCACTGGGTTTGCTGATTTCAGATTCGCAGAATGTCATCAGAATGGGCCCCAGTCAGGATCAAGTAAAATACTTGCAGAAGGATGGCTAGATACGTTACCAGTGAAACCATATAATTTTTGGAATATTAAGCAGTGTATTTTGCTTGTTTCGTTGTGAATTTGATGCCATAAAGGAGTATTGACTTTCGTCTTTGGAGAGTCCGTAAGATGTGCGGTGCACTCGATAGCAGCCACAAATTTTAAAATTTCGCACTGGGTTTCTTCTTGGAAATTGAGAAAAATTGTTTAAAGTGTTTCACCCGCCAGTTCCTACTACTGAATAAATTCCATTCGATTTATCTCGTTTCGTTGACCAGCCAGTGAGAGGCCAGCCTAGCGCAGCAATTAAGAGAGGTCATCATGCCGCATGCAGGCCTCAGGAGATGCTAGTGCTCTATATTACCTTCTACAGTATCGCCGCTCCAGATAAAGTCCGCCACCAGCGAGTGGTGATATAGTTTGAGATGACCTTCCGATTGCTTTTTCGCACCTCCGCATACTTGCCAGCGGGATAGCCCCGCTTAATTGCTTACGCTGACTGCTGACCTCTGATCAAGTTACGACTATGAGTAAAGTGAATAAATATGTGCTGACTATGAGTTAAGTGAATAAATATAAGTGAAGTTATATAGTTATGTAATTATAATAGTTATATGGAATGGAATTTTTGTAAACGGGAAAGGTGAGACGGGAAGCATGGATGATGGGTGGCAGGAAGTGATAACAGCTGACATGGGGTCTTAAAAAGGGAGGGTCACCAAGTTCGGCACACACTACTGCGCGCCTGACGGATAAAACAATACGAAATGATTCACCATAGTAAATCGCGGCCAATGCCCAACGCGGCCATATCCCACTCTGTGATCTCGGCCAATATCCCACTCTGTGATTCATCAAGTAATAAGCCACTGTAAATCCCCTAATATCATTATTGGATACGCAACTTCCTACTGTAGTAGATTAATTTGCTTCGACACTAACAAGGGAGGCCGCTTGACGGTCGCTGGCGTGTTTTTTGAAAATGTTGTTGCTTGTTAGCAGGGGCCATGCGAAGGTTTACAAAAATGGGTTTCATTTTTGCTATGCGTTTCTGGGGAGGTCAAAAACTGAGTGAAAACAATTTGACGAGAAATCGCGATTTTAACCGTGTTAATGGGCTCTGTTGTAGCTGTAACTTTGACAGTGCATAATTCATGAGGTGTCCCTTCACTATGTATTGAAAAGATAGCAAAGTAAAGCCAATAAGAAAGTGGACGGAGGGGAGTAATACCGAAGTTACTTGAACGATTCTCGCAACCGCTGTTTCGCGGTCGGCGGATGGCGGAGTGGATAGTGCGGTGGGCTCTCGCCGAAAAGAAGGTTCTTGGATCGGATCCCCTTGGCGACTAACTCTTTGCATTTTTCGGATACTTTATACGTTTTTCGGTTTTGGATTTACGACACCATTTTTGACCACGGCGCAGCCTAGCGCCGACTTGCTGCAAGAGCATTCTTCCACTGAATTGTTGCCAACCCGCACGCAGGGGCTGTTAAGCGCTCATCTCGAGAGAAAATTTTTGCTGAAAGTCTGTACATAGAGGTTATCTAATGGCCGTTCGCTGATGCGATTCTGACCTTTTAACCATTGGCGTCTAGGTCCTGTTGGGCGGCCAACATGGTGCTCTGAACACCCGCCCTCAGCCAGCTGCGTTGGGTATGCCTGCGATTCTTTGAGAACTACAATGCCTGCCTCACTAATGTGCGGACAAATAAAGTACTTTTTACCTTGAATTGTATTGTTTTCGATGCAGTGTCGACGAAGGTCTCATCTGCTATGCATACTTAACATTATGAATAGAAAAAGCCTCGGAAAAATGGTTCAAAATCGCTTCTCCCCAGCAAACTTTGCACTCAGTTTTTGACCTACCCAGAAACGCATAGCAAAAATGAAACCCATTTTTGTGATCCTTATTCGGACCTCTACAACATGCAACAAATCATTTCCGAAAAGCGCGCCACGACCTGAAAGACCTCCCTTGTAAGATAGATTTCAGATAGATAAGATAGATTTCAGTAGATTGATTTACCTCGACACTAAGATAGTTAACGAGTCTTTATTAGAGATGACGTTTCGGTGTCGTCGCCGTCTTCAGAGCCTGGAAAGCCGGACATTCTCGAAACTACTCGTTCTCGAAAACGAGCTAAATCAATC